CAAAGTTACAAATTGTCTTTAAGAGATTTTCCTCATACAATCTTGGTCTCCTCTTTTTAGTGCATTAAAATATGCTTGTGTATCATTTCAGTCCAGAATCAGTTGGAATATTTTAACAGCCCAACCAGCCTTTAAAAACAACCCCGATCTCAGACGGAGAATCTTTAGGCGCACATATTATTCAATTCATACATCAAGAAAGAAATACCCAATTTCCCTGCCTCACTTGTCACCAATTCTGTGCAGAGATATCGAGCATAAACTCACGTCATTCTGCCTAAGCATGTAGTGCTAATTGCCCGGGGCAGGGTGTTTCAGGCCTAAATCCCTGAACGCTTCAAAGCAGTCTAATCGCAGCAGCACATCTAGTGATGGCGGCCAATCCCATTAGGAGGTCGATGGCGCAGCCCCACTTTGTGCTCAGTCCGAGCATCTCTGATCTGTTGAAAAGATTACCCACAGAGCCCTAGATCATCCAAGAGGAAGGGGCTTAACACATCATGTTTTTGGGAATGGGTGCAGGGAAACTGAACATGTAGGATATATGTTTTTAGCAACGTAGAGTACAGTACCACTAAACATCACGGTGCAGATAGGATAAAGATGTATAAAGCTTTCTGTCACATTCATTTGTCAAAGTAGGTCAACCTGGAGGCTTGCTTATACTTGACCTTACATTTACTTCTTACAATCAAAGTGAGATTTAAAAACCTTCAAACCTTATATTTCATAAAAACACAAGAAAGAGCTGCCTCTCCTGCTTGAGACTTCTGAGGTGTTGCACTATTTATTCCCTTTTGATAAACATTTGAATAGGCATATAACTAAGCAGATAGATGATCAAAGTGTATGTTAGATAAATGATATTCCTCCAAAATGTTGGTGAAATTCAATCATTCCCATGATGGATCTTGTGTTTGGCAGATGAATGACAGATGAATCCGCTTTACTTTCCTAAATGTGTGAATGGTGGTGATGTAACGTTGTAAATACTCGACTCCATGAAAGTAGGTTCCCAACCAGCTTATGTGGTTTTACTCTGCAAGCTTTTCTACAATTCGTCAAAACAAGTGTACTTCCTCTGACGACTTGTAGTGGGAGCTTGGAGACACAGTGCTGTGGGAAGATGTTGTGATACTCGCATGCAGTTAATCCTCTTTCACAAAATGCTTGTAACTCCATTATATAGCTGACCAATTACAACGGATGTTATGAAGCATGCCTATTTCCACTCAGGTTTGAAAAAATACAACAATGTCTTTTTTTTCCTTTATATTTTCCGAATGTATGTATTGCTTTGCATTGTGTTTAAACAGAAAAGCATTTTAATTTATATTCTTCTATAACTTTCAATTATGCATTACAAAGATTAATTGGCCACTCTTTTTTTTGGTAATCACGCAGAATTAGTTTTGAGCAGTATTTCATGGTAAATACATTCAATTTGGGATCAATAAAGTATCTCATCTTAAACAATTTATTGTGATCATCAATGCTCATTTTATAGCAAAAATCTATTGATTTTGAGCGTTTTAAAGAATTTAGTTCTCTGATACGCATTATACACTTACATTTATTTATCTTTGACCTCCTTTATGTTTGTAGTTTTTGTTTGACTGCATCTCTGAGAGAAAGATTGTAAATGTAAGATCAAGGGACAATATGTCCTCTGTCAATCGTTACATATAAACAGTTTTCCTCCTAACATACCTCTTTTTACTTCAGAGATTGTCCTTCTGAAGACGGGAAAGCTCAGCTGTGTTTATTAAAATCAATGATATCTGCATTCCAGCCATTTGGCAGGGGCTGGTGTTGTACATGCTGGCTCACTTGGTGCACATTATTATATTTTCCTTACTATGACAAGTCAAAGGTCTGCTGTGAAAAAGTTCTGTATTCTTGTGATTGGCTTCATGTATAAATACCTTTGCCTTTGGAGCAAGCTGTGAGCGTGTGTCCAAGGTCAACGTATATTTTCCTGCAGCTGAAGAGGGATTAACCCCCCAGACAGATTAACGAGAAGTCAGAGTGCACAAGAGTGAAGATTATTTGGTTCATGGATATAGACAGTACTTTTCCCAGGAATAGTTCCGAGTTCACCAAAAATATCTGGAACTAGAAGTTTTTTGTTTTTTTTTGCGAACCTTTTCACCCCTTTTTACTCCCTGCTAGAGAGCAGGGACTTTCCTGGGAGAAAAAAGTTCCAATTTCTGATTGGCTGGGTGGATTGAAAACCACGCCCGTAAAACTCTGAAAAGTTTTGTGAAGCTGCCATTGTATTTGCTGGCATTAGCATCATTAGCATTAGCCCAGCGCACCAACTGAGAGAGACTAACTTATGGCAACACAAAAAAAAACATGGGAGCGGTGGAGTGATGAGGAGGTGTCGGCGCTTCTGGCAATTTACTCGCTGGGAGTCCCAGCAGCTTCTACTGAAGCCAGTCCCCAACTCCGGGGACTTCCAGCCGGGGACTCCGGGTGGC